CCATTGGCACTGTCTGTTTCGCTCGAGTTGGCATGGGCATTTCCGCCTGTGGAGGCACCGAGTTGTCAGTTCAAATCTCAGGTGGACGCTTTCCCATCGAAGATGGTGTCATTCAGGCAAGTTGCTTTACTACATCACCCTTCGAATATCCCATCTGAAAATAACTGGGAATTATCATTGGTAAATTTAGGCAAGCAGATTAAGGCACAATTTCTATGACTACTTTAACGACGAACATCTTGGTCCACAGTCCAATCTCGTTTCGCTCACACTTTACGTCAACGGAACAGCAATCAACATGTCCAACACATCCTCATCTTTCGTGATCACCCTTAAGAAGGTTTGACCAAGTGTAACCATTTACCAGTTGGATATATAGGATGAAAGTGTCAGTAGCAGCATTCCAAATCCCAGCATTGGCACCGAGGAGCAGCACTTGACACTACCTGATCCAGTAGTGGCTGTGGATGGCTCACTGGTCTATCAGCCACTCATCCTTCACGGATTTGATGTTGGCAACACGGAGAACACTTTTGTGTTCCAACTTCATCCCACTGACATTGGCGCGTGCCCGCAATACTTGGTGGCTGTCAGGTAGGCCAATTAGTCAAGGCTTTTGAAGCTGTGCTCCCTCCCTCCACTAGGTTTGTCATTCCACCGAACCTGCGATTTGACGACGGACTTGGTCGTTATCTGTGGTCAATGATTCCTTCCTCCACGACGAAGTGCAGTGAGTGCATTGTTGTTAGGATATGAAGTGAATGGCTAAGCATTTGCCCATAAACACTACCACCTTACTCTATAGAACCAAATGGGAATGGTGAGGAGGTACTGCTGAACTACGCCTACTACATCGACAGAGAGGTGCTTGTTGAACTGAAAGCTGAGGCACTGAAGCATACAGCACACATGAAGCTGAGGGCGGAAGAGCTGAGTGTCCTCTACATTGGCTATCGACAGCTCACTACCAAGGAGTTGGACCGATACAACAGTGAGAACCCACCTCCAGTGCCTTACCCCTACACCGATCAGATCAATAACACAGCCCGTGTGTCGGCTTTCATGCCCTCGTGTCTCCACATCTCTCCTGGTGGTGCCGAATGGCGGAAAGATGGATGCAAGGTGTGTATGCATGTGAATGCTTATACTGGTGATATGCTGTTTATATTTTGTAGGTCTTACCCTCATCGAATCTGGATGAGGTCACCTGCGAATGTACGCACCTGACGACATTTGGGGCAGCTGGTCTACACGCCTCACCCCA